TCATGGGATAGTCACATAAAATTCAAGAATACGATATATTAAAGCCGATTATCACTATTCTTCAACGATGATTAAGTCCATTAAGCACCGATTTGGGCGGATTAATTCCGGGTCAATTTTTGGCAGATTCCAATGGGGTACCATCACATATTTAGGGCAATTTTTCAGAAATGCCATTTTCTTTCGATTTAGGCGGCTGTGGATCACGAAATCAGGCCGAGGATATTCTCCACCGATAATGAAGTCTATTGATCCTATTATCCACGGATGATAAGTCATTAAGCACCAATTTGGGCCAGTTTATTTTCAGATGGTATTTTCATAATTATTTGGATGACGAAAGGCCATTTTCTTTGGATTTTGAAGGCTACAGATCACGGATTCGGCCTGAGGCAACGATGATTAAGTCCATTAAGCATCAATTTGGGCAGATTTATTTCGAGTCAATTTTTGCGAGATTCCAAAGGGGGTACCATCACAGATTTCAGACCATTTTTCCGAAATGCCATTTTCTTTCGATTCTGGAGGCTGCAGATCACGGAAACATGCCGAGGCTATTCTCCACCGATAATGAAGTGTATTGATCATATTATCCATGGATGATAAGTACGTTAAGCACCGATTTTAGCCAATTTATTTTCGGATGGCATTTTGGTAATATTTTGGGTGACGAAAGGTCATTTTCTTTGGATTTTAAAGGCTATAGATCACGGATTCAGCCTGAGGCTATTCTTTAACGATGATTAAGTCCATTAAGCACCGATTTAGTCAGATTTATTCTTGGGGAATTTTTAGCAGATTCCAAAGGGGTACCATCTCTGATTTCGGGTCATTTCTCCGAAATGCCATTTTCTTTCAATTCTGGAGATTGCAGCTCACGAAATCAAGTCGAGGCTATTCTCCACCGATAATGAAGTCTATTTTGATCCTATTCTCCACGGATGGTAAGTCCATTAAGCACGGACTTTGGACAATTTATTTTCGTATGGCATTTTCGTATTTTTTTTGTGACGAAAGGCCATTTTCTTTGTATTTTGAAGGCTACATATCACGAATTTGCCCTGAGGCAATTCTTCAACGATGATTAAGTCCATTAATCACAGATTTCTATCGATTTTTTCCAGTTCAATTTTTGCGAGATTCCAAAGGGGTACCATCGAAGATTTCGATCGATTTTTCCAAAATGCCATTTTCTGTCGATTCTGGAGGCTGCAGATCACAGAATCAGGTCGAGGCTATTCTCCCCGATAATGAAGTCTATTGCTCCTATTCTCCATGGATGATAAGTCCATTAACCACCGATTTGGGCCAATTTATTTTCGGGTGGCATTTTCGTAATTTTATTAGGCGTCGAAAGGCCATTTTCTTTGGATTTTGAAGGCTACAGATCACGAACTCGGCCTGAGGATATTCTTCAACGATGATTAAGTCCATTAAGAACTGATTTGGTCGGATTTATTTCGGGTCAAATTTTGGCAAATTTCGGGCTGCTTCACACCTAAGTCCGATTGGTGGGATGATGACCTTTCCCTCATATACTGGCCAGTAAGCTTCATCCAGCAAAGCACGAAAACTCCTTCCATAACTGTTTTTTGTGAGTCGGTGTTGAAGAACGGACTGACGAAATGACGAGGGTCCTTGCTCTTGTGCTTGATTACAGCCATTGCATGGGAACAAGGTAACCTCTACCCTGATACTTCTGACAAGAGCACTCCCCTTTTTCGGTCTTAAAGTTGACAGTGACTTCATGGAGATGACCCCCACGCCTCCCATCCTCCCAGTGCACGGTCTCGACCGAATACTCGCCATCATTTTTGTTCATAAGTGACAGCGTGCCGAGAGCTCTTCCGATTATCTTTTTCCATTATTTATGTGGCCTTATCGGAGTGTACCTTCCCCTGTGCCTCCCTCTTCTCAGCCTAGTGGAGTCGATTGACGAACCATTGGTTCCTTTTCTAGAATGTCATCTCACCAATTGCAAAGATGGGCAGTGCACGAACAGCCATGTAGACGTTGTTGATACTCTCGCTGAGTTCGTTGTGGCAATACCCCACCTGGTACCTCCGTCCTTATGAAATGTTCACATGGTTAGGTCATGTTGATCAAGCCACTTCGCACCTTCAGGGCATAGCTTACGGATATTCTGCATCTTCTCTTTGAGTTTCTTCTCTTGGTAGGCAACAACTAATGAATATATAAACAAAAGCGTAAGGTAAGGGTATATCTGTGTTGGTTGTTTTCAAAAAAACTTGAGCAATACAATTACACTCGTAAGACTCTTAGGAGAGGTATATATACCCTTAGAAACACAGCTTTTTTGATAGAAAAAGGGAGGACTCGAGGATCGCTTAGAACCCGATTTTCCCAGGAAATGGGAGGATCATGATGATCGCTTAAGACCTCATTTTTGTATGCATGCATATCTTTATAAATAGTCTAAATAAGTGTTGCATCTCTTTTTTTCAGTTAACAAAATTATTACACCAATGAAATAGAAAGCTTACCGGTCCACCATAAACTATCAGAAAGCTTCTTCCGCTTGAAATTATGGTTCCAATTGCTCTTGAAGTATCGTATGCACCATCTCTGTGACCACTTACAGGCTGGATCCAAGCCTAAGATGGCATCCCTGATCCCGGCGTGGCAATCAGAGATGATTGTTAGGTTCATCCGCCTGGTGATGTGGAGTTGAATTTGTCTGAAGAACCATCCATAGCTGTCGATATTCTCTCTCTCAACAATGGCAAAGGCTAATGGAAAGACGCATCTATTTGCATCTGCTCCGCTGGCGATCAGTAGAGTATCCTTGTACTTGCCGGTAAGGAATGTTCCATCCACCTGAATCACAGGAACACATAATGGAAAACCATCAATAGATGGCTTGAATGACCAGAAAATACGCTTGAAATGGCGTTTGTTACCGGGCTCTGACGGCTGAATTTCTTCATCTTGGTAGCGGGGGGAGAAAACGGTACCAGAGTTAGACCCCTCCAATGCCAAAATCAATATGGGAAGGAATGCATATGATTCTTCTCAGTCACCAAACACGGCGGTCATTGCTTTCTGCTTTCCATGGCACACCTTCTTGTAGTTAATAATATATCCATAACAACTAGAAATGTCGGCGATGATGGTTTTAACCTTCAGGTCGGGCTGCTCCTCAATTAGATGCTTGATAGCCGCGACAACCACCATGGATTTCAAGTGTCGATGGCCTTTGGATGTTATGTATGACACACATGTGTGAGTGTTCACCGCACGGGATATGACCCAATTGCCGACTCTCTTGATCTTGATGGCCCGGACCCTAGCCTTGCATCCCTCGTGTTGATTTTGGCAACTAACCGTGAGCCTCTTCGTGTCGGAATGGGTTGTGTGCCATTCAAAACTCTGAGTCATTACTTCAGTGGCAATAGCGTGTTGCACCTCATTCTTCGTTGCAAATTGTTGGCCCTTCGTAAAGCCAGTGAGTGGAGCCCATAATGGCACCTCTGGCGGCTCCATGTCGGCATCAACATACCAATCTTCATTTGGAATGTGATTGTAGTACGGGATAGGTACGCGATCGTGAGGCACCTCATCACCATCTGCGTCTGAATCTGGGCCAAAATCATCAGCACCTTCAAGAGGATCGAAGCTGTCTACACTGACATCGCCTTCCTCTTCTTCATCCCAGGGTCACTAACTAGATTTGGATGGACATCTTCCATCTGATCAAGATCATGAAAGGCACCTTCATCAGCTCCGTAATGGTAGTTGTGGTAACTACCGCCGCCTTGGTAGAAGTTGTACTCGGGTTGGTACTGGTAGCCTTCTTGTTGGTTCCCATGGTACTGTTGAGCTTCTTCTTCATATAATGGGAAGGATTGATGATGACCTCCAGTTCCATCATGATACTCCTGGTATGAATGAGGGTCTTGGTACTCCTGGTGGGGATGATCTTCGTATAATCCACCCACACCGTGGATACCAGATGTTTGGCCATCTCCAGAATGACCTACACCGCATTGGACCGCCTCGGTGTAAATGAAAATCTCCGCTTGTTTAATGTTATTGGTGGTCAAAAATTGGACCATGGCATCAACATCCTGCTGAGTGGTAATGAGGAATTCCTCATTCCACAACGACCCGCCGTGTCTGTTTGGATATTGATACACCATACGATCAACTCTTCTCGTGTCATCCATGCAGGTAACCTCACTACACATTTGATGGAGCTCTTCAAGCATCGGTCTCGTAGCGACCTTCATTTTATAAAAATTGCCACCGACGTAACGTACCCCATTTTCGGTCTCTTCCGTGTAACCATTCCACCGTAACCCAAGCGTGAACTTTTGGAATGCCATCTGCAATAAACCGTAATTAAGTTATTACCATAAAAATGACAAATCACAATGAAAAGTAATACAAAACAAACTTACGAATTAATGTTAATCGCAAAAACTAAAAAAATGAAAGGTGCACAATTGAAATTTGAAGAAGAAGGAGAGGAGTGAAGATTTGAGTTTTCTGGGGGCTGCCTTTTATAGGAAAAATTTACACTGAAAACCGCAGGGGGAGCGGTTTTAGTCTGGCATGCAGCCCCCACCCCTGCAACCTCCTGCATGCCGACATGTCGGATGTCTGGGGGATAAGGATGAGGCACAAACCGCTAGGGGGGGTGCGGTTTGTGCATCGACCTGATAAAACGCTTGCTTGAGGGGCGGTTTCTGTTGCCGACGCAGAACCGTACCCCGAGCATGCGGTTTGTGCAAGGCCAGCCATGGGAACCGCTTCTTCCATGAGAAACCGCCCCTTTGCAGAGCGATTTTCTCTATAGGTGCAATTTTTAATTAAAGGTGGTAGATTTGGAGTTTTTTCGGTTTGGTTGGTAGTTTTGTAAAAAAAAAATACAGGGTAGTTTTGGATTTTTTCCAAATAAGAGACAAACACAGGGAAGAGAGTTGTGGCTGCTGTGTAAAGGAGAGAGCTGAGCTTTCTCCATTTTTTCGGTTGAAAAGCTCCCATTTTACTCTCTCCCAGTCAATCAGAAATTTGAAAACCTAGAATTTGAAATCTACCCACAACCCCGTCTCTCCACTGATCATTCATTTCTTCACCGTCCCATTTCCGGCGGTAAAATTTTGGCCCTTGGGTTGCCCAAATCGCAACAACAAACAGCAGCTGTTCCCCTGCTTAAATGTGAGCCAAATTCTCTTATCCCCTCTTAAATTCTAGCTACATGTTGCGTTCTGGAATGTAATTTTTCCGAAACTGCTGTTGAAGTTCCTGTATTTCGCGGTTTTCTATAGTTGTTAACCTCAGCAACCAAACTCCCATTTGCTGGGTTTCTGCTTCCTTCCTAGTTCAGTTAGTTTTGTCTTTCGTTTTCCTCTTATGCAGGCTGATTGAATTTCTGTTTCCACAGATTCTGTTGCATTGGCTTCAGATCTTAAAGGTGCGCCTCTCTGCCTTCTTATAGAATTTGGCCTTGCGGAGGTTTTTGTCTCTTCGGCTTTGGCCTATGAGAGAAGCAGCGCAAAACTAATCATTGTTTTTATCTTTAGGTGATTGGTTTCCTGAAGTTGTTCTTGCTGAAATCTTTTAGGTTTCCCCTCAAAGAGTGGGTCAATGGATAAGGAAAAAAAGAGTTCAGAGACTGATTTTCTGCTGCAATGGGGGACCAAAAAGAGGCTCAGATGCGTGAAACTGAAGAAAAATCAAAACTTGGCCAAGAATTCTAGACCAACTGATTCTTTCCCTAAGAAGAGACTCACATCTGCTGTCGTCACTTTGAAGAAAGATTCCCCTTCTCGTTTCATGAAGTAAGATTGCCCGAAAACTTACCACAATAAGCGAAGTTTTTTTGCTCCTCTCTTTTTGCTGTGTTTCAGAAGTACTGCATTTCATGTGCTTGTTTGTGGCTTCCAATAGGCAATAAGCTACTGCTAGTAAGATTACATTTATGTTGAGTGCTACTTTCTGGCTAATGAGATTCTGAGTTATCCAGGCCTCTTGCTAGCTGTGTACTTTAGCACGACTTCAGATCCATCTGGCTGATGAACAAAGTCTTTTGCTATTTTTGTTTGTTATCTGAAAATCAAGCATATTTATCCTAGGGCGTTTAAGTTGGATTGCAACTGTGATGATTTTAGGAGTGATATGTTACCAAGCAAGAGGAAGGTACTGTCACCAGAGAAAGAAGACCGGTACTACACTACGAGGGGATCATTGGGGTTAGACGAAAGCAGTAAGCTGTTAATAGATGGTATTGAGGAAGAAAAAGGTCATCATGTCTGGCCTAAATTGTTTATCTCATTGTCCAATAAAGAAAAAGAAGAGGATTTCTTGGCGATGAAAGGGTGCAAACCATCTCAAAGGCCCAAGAAAAGGGCCAAGTTGATCCAAAGAACAATACTCGTAAGTGTTCGAAGGGGTGGCTGGTTCATTTTTATCCTTGTTGAAACCGAAACTCACTTTAGCTTGTGTTGTTTGCTTCTTGCACAGTTGGTGAGCCCGGGTACATGGCTGTCGGATTTGACTCAAGAGAGATATGAAGTTCGGGAGAAGAAGACTGCCAAAAGGGTAATTTGCTGATTTTCCTCGTGATAATTTATGTGCTCGTTGGGTAATCTCCACAGCTATTCGGTCATTACTTGTGTGTTGCAACTGTTCTAAAGACCTAACACTGTTTTGGACATATATATACTCACACAGTGTGGATTTGGTTTGGTTTTTTATCAGAGACCCCGGGGATTGAAGGCAATGGGCGGTATGGAAAGTGATTCAGAATCATAGATCCATACGTGGCAAGGAGAAAAGTAAAGCATCGCGATTGCTTGAAGTGTGAGACTAACCAGCAATCAAGGACCAGATCAGAGATTCTTATGAGTGATTTAATCATTTCGCGCTTTGATGGTAGTCATGACTCTTGAGCAGAGCGATAGATTAATGGCATCCTCTCTTCAGCTCCATATTATCATACCTGTAACAGTGTTTCACTATTTGGGTTGGAGTATAAATTAAAGCTTATTTATTTTTGCTTCCCAATCAGTTATCTGATTCTTTCTTTTGGAGATTTGAATGCTCCCACGGGTGTTGTGCAGTGCTCCCCAATTTCTGACTGAAAGGCTTTTGCTTTTGCTCCAGATTGAAGGAGTAAGTCTCGCAAAACAGCTTTTGTTCTGTTGGGATGAAAAGGGATAAAGAAAGGAGCTTTTACTTCAAGAAAAATCGAGGGAATTCACCTGCTATTGTAATCTCAATCTCAAAAAGGAGTTTGGGTTCTTATGGTTATTGAAATTTGTAAGGGCGATATCATATCAGGACAGAATCGGACAACAGACGATTCATGTCATGATCTATTTTGATCCATTCATCTCTTTGTTAGAGATAGCATGATCTTTATCCAAAAATAAATGAAGCCTTTCCTCAACCTTTTCCTTTCAAATTATGAAATCTGGCCCACCGGGAAGAAAACGAGCAACGCAACCTATTTCATCACAAATGAGCTGTTGGACAAAAGATTTGCGTACAGTACTGCAAGGAAGATTTCCGTTCCCTAGCCAGACAGTTCTACAACCAGGTCCTCGAAGTCTCCAATCTTCTCCTTCCTCCTCCATCCCGCAGCTCTCTACCCCCAAACCATTCTGCCTCCTCTTGGGTCCCACCGCCAGAAGACTTTTTGAAGATCAACTTTGACGCTGCTTTTTGTGCCACCGGGTGTTCGTCTGGGCTTGTTATCCGTAGGTCAGACGGGAATGTAGTGTTGGCATTCGGGCTGCAGCATCAAGGAATAGTCAATCCTTACCTGGCAGAGCTTCTAGCCTTTAGAGACGCTATCTCCATCGTAGCTTCAAGATCCTTGACCCACGTGATAGTCGAAGGTGATTCCGAAGTGGTTGTCAATCAATTCCGTCAAGGCGTCAGAGAAGACTCGATTGGTGGTCTGGTGTTACGAGAGTATCATCAGATCCTTAGCTCTTTGTCTGTTTGTATAGAGTTTAGGGCGGTATCTAGGTCCGCCAACAGTGCTTCCCATAGAGTGGCATGTAAAGCACTGCTTTTGTAGCGTTTAGAGCTAGAATCTTTTTATTTTTTGGGTGACTTCTTTAGAGTCTTTTAGGGGTCCTGGGTAGAATTGTAAGTTTAACTATTATCCTTTATTATCCTTCATTGATATCACTCAAGGAAGATTCAACAGAAAAGCATTGAAATAAACACAGAAAGCTCAATGGGAACCACGTCAATCTTCATGTTGAAAATAAATTACAGAACAAATTTGAAAGCGCAATGCAATTTGCGAGAGATTCTTCTATATTGCCAACGACAAAAAAAAAAATAGTGATTAGCAAAGTCCACTTGATACTTTCGACTGTGACAGTCCACAATTACACTGCCAAATAAGAGGAAAGAAAAACAGAAGGGGAAAGACGGAGCACATCAAAACTGCAGCTGAACCTACTACACCCTGCTCCCAGCTGCAATGGCTTCCCTTCCCCCTCACCTCATAAGATTAGTCCAATTCAATCAACTCCTACCTCACTATTCTCTCTTCCTCATTTACATGACTCATGATTAGGACCCTATATACTTCTTAGAATACAAGCTACAACATTACCTACAAAATGTACAGTTGAAAATCCGAAAGCACCGACAAAAACCATCATCATCTTCTTCTTCCAATCCTGTAATCATCATCAGGATGAACCCTGCACCAACCCACCTTACATGGATGGGAGAACACAATAAGTTTCAATTTTCACCCCATTCCATGAACTGCACGATTCTCCAGATGTTTGGACGATTGAAATCCGAGCCTAGATGGACCTGCCAATATTGATATAGCAGTTGAAATTTCCTACGCAGAATACCAATCGCCTAAATTCATGTGTATCAAAAAGAAACGGTCTGGCAAGTTGAAAGCTTTGCGTATACCTAGTTGTGTGCAGTGTGACCTGTGGTCCAAGGAACCTGGAGTGGGTAGCCTACCATCGAGCAGCAACATTAAGCATCTCAATCACTTGGGACTTTCAACCAAAAAACTAGAGCCATCCATCTCCGGAACATTATAAAGCCTCCAACGCAACTGATGCCTTGGTGAAAACAGAGAGCACAAATGGTGCTTCTTCCCCAGGGTGTATGGTTGTGGGGACAATTGTGTAGCCTTTCGGATCAGGATCCAGAACCATCTCACATGATATCTCACGCGAATTAACGTAGTCCGTGCCACCAACTGATTCATGTAAGTAGATGTTGTAAGAAGCACGTCGACCACGAGTTTTCAGTATCCTCATCCCGATGTAGAACATCAAAGAGTCATGGCTCGATTGGTAGTTGCTGAAACCAGCGGCCCGTCTGGAGAATCCCACGCCCTAAAAAGGAAGAGAGCCATTTCTTGAGCCCGAGACCATTATGGAGAAGGTGGCATCAAACAGATAATTCAATCACATACCTGAGTTAAGGTAATGAACACATGAATTGGAAGGGATGAATCTGGTCCAGTGGCTCTAAGTCTGAACTGTGGATTTTGATTCCAAGAAGCATAATCCTGGCAGCCACCAGAGCTGTAGCCATGCCATTGGCCATGCACGGAATACCGCATCTCTGGAGGATAGACACGACAAACGTATATCGATCGGAAGTGAATCTGGAAGTCTTGCCATGACATCCAGAATATACCATCTTTGGACTGCGTTACAAAAAAGAGCAGCTACGTTTAACAAAATGATCAAAGAAAGAGGAATCATGATATGGGGCCAATCATAACAAACACAAATCTTAAGAAGAAATTGTGCATATTATACAGTCTAGTCAAAATCCCGTATCAACTCCTAAAAGCTTACGCTTTACGGAGTAGTTTGATCTAGGCAAAATCAATTTGTCATAAATACTTACACTTTTACTAGCAGAATCAATGAACTAGAGAGAATCGGGGTATGTATATACCCTTCATTTGATGATAGAATATATCTCAGGATCCCGCCTAATAGATAAGCATGGAACATAAGTGTGCATGTTGCAACTTACAGGGATCTTGAATTTTCTCCCCAGGTGCAGAATATTATATATTTGTCGCTTATAGAGTGATTGTAAATTTGTAATCTCAAATCTATGAAAATTATATAGCAATTTCACATTGTCCCTAGAAACTTACCTAGGATACACCATTAAGCAATTTGCAGTTAGTTACCTGTGGAACATGTTTCAGCTTATGCTTCATCCTATCGGTCCACTCCGGTGAGGTGTCAGACCAAGGACCATTCCACTCAACTTCGCTAGCCCAAGGATTCCGAATTTGAACAAGCTTATGGCCATCAACCTCTCTCACCTGAAACAGCATATAGATTCGACCATTAGGTTTCGGCGGCATTGATTAGCTGGTACCCAACGTGGTAAATAGTAAAAGTCTCACCTGGAGTAGAGAGTAAGCATGGCCTTGGACAATACCACTGGAAGAAATGTGGACGTCAGAACCTGACGGACTCCCAGCCCCAAGTAGAAAGCCCTCCTGTTTAAACCTTAGCAATTGAGACCATAGTCGACCACTCGCGAGATCAATTTGGGCCTGAGCACTCCGCATGTCAATCTCTTCACCAGCACCTCCAGTAAGGTCCACAAGAGCATCTTGAACCAGCCCGCCTTCCAAGGCCTCATACGAGCCATGCAACTTAGCATAGGCTTTCTCTAGTAGAGAGACCCACAACTCGTTGCCCTTCCTACTTGTGGCGAAAGCAGGTTTACCAGGTGATTCACACGGAATCCAATCGTCAACAACAACAGGGACCCACTCACCCTGGAACCGGATGAGCAACAAGAGTATTAATCTTCGAGGAAAAGATGGCAACACTAAAAATGAAATCTACTCACTTGCCTGGAGAAAACATTACCTGAATACAGAAGCGAACAGTGTAGATTCCTTCCTCATTATATTCTGATGTAATAATGACTTCAGATATTCTCGAAACCTCGGTCAAAACAGCAACAGCACTTAAAAACCAGCAATCACCCAAACGGCCCTATTTCATTGACAGTCAACCATTAGTAGTAAAAATGAACAATCCCAGTGGATATATAATGTTTTTGCAGTTTGCAGAAAACAACTTTCCACACCTGACAGACATCAGAGGGGTTTGCCGGCCCAGAAAATAAGCACGGGGTTGAATCCAACCGACTTTCCTTCACCATTTCAGCAGGTCTCATCCACTTCGAGACCACCTAGTATGGAAAAGCTAATAACTCAAAAAAAACTTTAAGGAAATCAAAAGACGGTGATGAAAATAATTAGTCTAACACAAATTACCACCTGCAGTTTCGAGGGGGGGTTATCTGGGTCCACATATAAAGACTGATTATTGGGAGGGAACTCCTGATCAGTAAAATGTGATTCCCCCTTAGCAAAGAGAGCTTCTTTTACAGCTAATTCAACCGAAAGCATTCTCTGGTTAATTTCTTCTTGCATTTCGATTCTAGGTTTCCGGAACCTCCTTGTGAAAGAGTCGACATCTACCACTATTCCTTCCCGCCCTGACCTTCTTTTCCTTCCGCTGGAGTATTGCCCATCCCAATCAACATCATCTCGGTCGTATAGATCTACATCTGCAGGATCACTGTCCCACTCATCACCCTGAATGTAAGCAAATAGAGCAACAATCAGTAAGCAGGTCAATTATTTCATCTAGCACTATCTAGAATTTCAAAATGGTACATACCCTAGGGGGTGAATCAGCCCATTGCCAGTTGTCTTCAGGAAAATCAACCATCCCAAACTCTGACGACCCAACGGCAGAGTAAAGGGAGGCAACCTCATCATCGGATAGGCACTTCCCCCAAATAAAAACATCCATTATATGCATCTTGGACTCTGGGCCTTCACTATCCGACCTTCCGAATGCATCCATATCCATTGGTGGTCGAATACCGACCCATAGTTCGGTCCCTTGTTCCCAGATGCTATTATTAGTCACAGACAATGGCAACCCTGTCTGCATGCCATCAAATCCACCATCCAGATAGCACGTGGCTTCACCAGCATCAGTATCGATTGTCATTGTGACGAGATGCCACCTATACAAGTACCAAATATACTAAAGTCAAAATACTGAAAGGAAGAGGTTCATTCTACTAAGTAGCTGAAGATATGCAGTACTCCTTAAGAAAAGGAAAACTACAAGTGAAACGATGACAGAAAACACAGCATGTGTTTGGTTTGGTGTGATTGTAAGTGATTGTTATTTATCAGTGCGTTTTATCTTGCATGTTATATGTCAAGTGTATTTGCACATACATTGTTTGCCAAAAAAGAGTAAAGGACATGTACGGCTGTTTCTCTAGAGTGCATTCCAAAGATTTCCTATAAATGTATTTTTGATATCATCATTTTGATGCATTTGAGGTTGGGTGTGCAATTTTAATTATGCTAAAAAT